TAAGTGAGAGTTGAACAATGAGAACACATGGACCCAGGGAGGGGAACAACACACACCAGGGCCTGTTGAGGGGTTGCGGGAGAGGGGAGGAAACTTAGATGACAGGTCAATAGGTGCAGCAACCCACCATGTTACCTATGTAACAAACCTGCACATTCTGCACGTATATCCTGGAACTTAAAGTAAAATAAATTAAAAAAAAAAAAAAAAAAAAAGTCCGTTAATAACACACATTAGCAAGGATGTAGAGAAACTGGAACCTTAACATATTCTTTGTGGAAATGTAAAAAATGTGCAGACACTTTGGAAAACAAAAAGTTTGGCAGTTTCTTCAGATGTTAAACACAATATAACAAACAATGCAGAAATTCTACATCTAGAGAAATCAAAACATATTTCCACACAAAGGCTTTTACATCAATGTTCAGAGCAGCATTATTCAAAATAGCTAAGAAATGGAAACAACCCAAATGTCCATCAACTGGTGAATGGAAAAGTAAATGCTGGCCAATATATTGTAATATAACTGACATTCTGCTCACTTTTATTTAAATATTTCTAAACAATAATTTTATAAATTCAAACTAGCTCTATACTTAGCCCATGCTCAAGATTTAAACATTAATTAGTCCAGTCATATAAATCTGTAGCCACTTAAAATGCTCATAACAAACTTTCCCACAGTGCAAATTATTTTTTAATGGGAACCTTGTACACAATCCATTTCTAACTCTAATTAGATTTATCTAGGGAAAACGCCATTGGTTAACTGATATACCTAATACTAGCTAAACAAAATGTTAATATACTCTAAGTGGTAGAATACTGTTCCATCTAAAAAGCATAATGACCAACATTAATAAGAAACTGGAAATCTGTAATTTTGGTAGTTACTCACAAATTATGCATTTTGTTCTATTTATAGACAAACATCCTGTTTACAGGGACAACAGCAATATCTTCAAACTTGTAGGCTCCATTTGTACTAACATAAATGCTACTGCATAACAATTACATCTGTATTTTGCTTGGATATATAAAGAAACATCATTATTTTCACAAGTGAAGTAATGAAAGTCTTAAGTATTAAAGCAGATTACACAAAGTCATCTCTCATTTATGAGCGATAATTTAATGTGGTTATTACCTCTACTGTTAATGTGTAACACACGGCATCTTAGAGCTAAGCACTATATTTTAACCTAATAATAGTAGCTATAACATTCTGAAACGTGCCTCATAAATCAAAGCCACAATGCGTGCATTGAGGGTTTGGACTAGCACTTCATGAGATCTAGATCTATTACAATTTGCTGAAAGGGGACAAAGGCAGACGGGAAAGCTTTTAAGGAGATTTAAAATAAAAAAAAATAAAATAAATAAAAAAGCAAATGATAATCATTTTGGAAGAACTCCTTTTCCTTGCTAGGTGGAACTTGTAGAGGACTACCAGTGGTCTCCTTCATTTACCGATGGGATTTAATAGAGTAACACGTGCCCACTTGCAGTAACACAGCATGGCCCACTCCAAAGAAGCCACCAAGAGGTCAGGCTGACACTTTGTAATTCACTGTAGAAGCAGAAAATAGAAGTCCCCAAAGTCACAAAAGGCTTTTCACAGATTTTGGAAAGAACAAGCGGGTTCCAAATAATTCATAAAGCTGAGCTTAGCAAACACATTGCAATTCCATGCTGAACAGAAAAACGATACACTCCTCACACGGGCCAAAACATCACAGCACCTCAGTAGTCACCACATGATGACTGAAAATCCACTTCCTAGTTCATTTTAGGAAATTAAAAAAAAAAAATTCACTTCCTAATTGATTTTTACCACTGACTGATCATTATGCAGTTGGTGTCTCCAGCTGAGCTTTATGAAGCGTGACCTAGGCATTCACTAATTGAGAAGCACAGTAAGAGCACAGATAGATGGCACACCTCCAGTGACCGGACAACACCAAGTCACACCGCGAAGTGCTAACGCAGAACAGTGACAGAACGCTTAGGGAATATAGAGAAGGGGGCAATTTAAGGACTCAAGGAAAACTTCACAAAGAACATACTTCAGATGGAAGGGGTAAGAGCACAAGACAAGCACAAGAGCACAAGATCAGAAGTGTCCTCCAGACAGAGAGGAAACTCTACAAAATAACACTAAATGGTGATATGTTCTCTACCACTGGAGCGTAACAGATGTTTGAAAGGCATGAAACGGGATGATGCTGGAGGCAAGCAGAGTAGGAGATGTGACTGGACAAGCTGTGGAGGGATGAGAGGTTCAAAAGGAACAAAACTTCGGATAAAGATATGAAAAGTAGGTCTTCCATTGGACCTTGAAAGACAACTCCTCCTAATACATGGAACATTCAGTGACCACTGGCTAGTATAAGAACCGTTCTGAATCCCACAGGGAGAACAGAATAGAAATTTAATGTGTTTTCACATCCAATGAGGGAAAACAATAGTTGCTAATCAGTACAACTGCAAGTCAAAACATGCCAAAGGACAAAGCGTATCCACGTCACTCTAGGACCCTAGAACATGCTATGGCTGCCATCTGAAGGGAGGGAGGGCAACAACAAAAGAAGTCCACTGCCTGCAGTGCTGGCGGCTGAATGCCGGCCTCCACTGAATGTTGCACCTTCTAGAGCTCTGATGTCCAATCTGGTAGCCAGTAGCCTCATGTGGCTATTTAAATTTAAATTAATTAAAACTAAGTACAATTTAAGGCTGGATGCAGTGATTCATCACACCTGTATTCCCAGCACTTTGGGAGGCCGAAGCTGGTGGATCACTTGAGGCCAGGAGTTCAAGACCAGCCCGGCCAACATAGTGAAACCTCATCTCAAAAATAAATTAATTAATTCAATAAATTTAATTTAAAATTTGATCCCTTAAAAGTGATATTTCAAGTGCCCAATAACTCTGTATGACTAGTGGCTACAATGATGAACAGTGCTGGTATGACATGTTTCTTTCACTGAAGAAAGTTCTATTGGCAGTGTTATCCTAGAGTCACCGCTGCAAGAGGAAGAGGCAAAAATTCCATAGGGGCAAAAATTCACATTACAACCCTCTTTGAGATAATCAGATTACTTAGTATTGAACTGGGAATACACATGCATATTAGATCCATGCTCATTAAATTAAATTTTAATATTAAAAAAAGAGTTGTGAAAATGGGGTAGTTGTATATATTCTACTCTGGGCAAAAGCTAAGTATCTTTGCCCTAATTCCATCAATAGACTCCACAACTGAAGCTTTGTACCAGAGTTCTAGAAGTAACTTAGAGTACACAAATACTAACGACTTTGTCAAGATGGATACAGCAAAAAAAAAAAAAAAAAAGTTAGTGCAGCTCACTTACCACAATAGGTGTCTCCCAAAATAGTTACAAGAAAAATAAAGGACATTTTACGCTGTGAAAGTGAAGCTTACCATTCGATGGAATCTCATGAAAAACCAATCTATACAGAGAATCATCATCACATCTTAATTTACCTAGCTGGGATGTCAGAAACTGGGCCACTGCCTTTGATCTAAAAAATGCTAATTCTATGTTTCTAGAAAGAGTCATGAAACGTTCAATTCCCTTGGGCAAACAGTGACCAAAAGAAGACGGGTGTCGGGGGCATACTCTTCCTCCTTCCTCTCCCAGGATGGAAGATTCTGAAACACATATAGACTTAACTGGTACAGACAATTTTATTCGTAAGAATCTCAATGAGGAAAAGGAAAACAACAAAAATCCAACACAAAATAAGCAAGTGAATCGAACAAGTACCTCAAAAAGAGGATCTCTCCTGTACTATCTCCATCTCATTAGTAATCAGAAAAATATAAATCAGTTAATTAGATATCATTAAACATCATTAGGACACCAACAATAGCAATGTCCTGGATTGGAGTAACCAGCAATCCTGTACATTACTTCTCAAAGTCAATCAGTAACACAAAAGAAAAGCATCTGGCATTATCTATTTAGGTTGAATTATATACACAGCTCACAACACATATTTCCAGTGCTAGATACATGCCTGAGAGAACTGTTTGCCCATGTACACTAGAGACATGTACAAATGATGACAGTCACATTATTTTTAGTCACCAAAATTGAAAACAAACCAATGTCAATCAATGTTCATATGAATAAACTGTAATATGCACACCGAAATTAATTTCTACATGGCAATAAAAATGAATAAACTACAGCTACATGCAACAGCATGAATGGATCTCACAAACATAACATTAAGTATAACTATTTCTATAAAATACAAAAATAGGTAAAACTAAACTATCATATTGAGGGTATGTATGGTACATATCAAAATTATTTAAAACAAAAACAAAAATCACAAAGATCTGGTTATCAGGACTAGTCAAGACAGTGGTGATCTCTGGAAAGGGAGAGAAAAGTTAGGAATGAAATACAGAAGGCCGGTCATGGTGGCTCACACCTGTAATCCACGCACTTTGGAAGGCTGACAAGGGCGGATCACTTAAGGTCAGGAGTTTGAGACCAACCTGGCCAACATGGTGAGACTCCATCTCAACTAAAAATTAAACAAATTAGCCGGGTGTGGTGTGTAATCCCAGCTACTCGGGAGGCTGAGGCAGGAGAATCCCTTGAACTGGGGAGGTGGAGGCTGCAGTGAGCAGAGATCACGCCGCTGCACTCCAGCCTGGCAAAAGAGTGAGACTCCGTCGAAAAAAAAGAAGTTTAATAAGGAGAGGGTCTGGGGGATTTGGAAGGCGGTAAGGTACTGCTTCTTTACCTGTAGTTTCATGGGTGTTTTCTTTATGATAGTCTATTGAGCTGAACATTTTCTGGTATACTTTTTATATGAATGTTATATTTCACACACGCACACAAAAGCGAGAAAAGTGGTCTGCACACACATACACAAAACGCCTCTCATCCACAAGGTTAGGTGATCCCATTTTATTCCACTCTCAGCCACCTTTCAAACTCCTCTTCCTAATTTTAACTCACCTCTTGTACTGCTTTACTAGTTAATGGTGAAGCACTGATATTTTCCCCTCCTTCATGATGGATCTGGAAATTCACTCTTTGATAAAGAATCTAAAACAAGAACAGGCTATGCTGTAAAGGAGATACGTTTTTAAATTTGCTTCTCATCACAATGTAGGCTTGAAATTTAAAAAGTACTTTTAAAAAGAAAATTACCTTTTCATAATGATTAGCTTTGGTAACAGGCTTACTTCAGGACTTCACAAACAGTTTCAAAAGGATGCAATGGTTTCAGAAGTGGTGATCAAGTGTGAAAAAAACTGATATACAATGTAATGAATTGTTACAGGCGGTGTCTATGTTCCGGCCTGGAGCAACCTCAATTCTTGCCTCCTCAGAAGAATAAATTTGACTGAGGAGCATATGGCAGAAAAAGAGACCAAGGCGAGTTTTAGAGCAAGAGTGGAAGTTTATTAAAAAGCTTTACAGCAGGAATGAAAGGAAGGAAGATACACCTGGAAGAGGCCCAAGTGAGGGATTCGAAGGACAAGTGCGGGGTTTGACCTTTGGCTTAGAGCTTCATATCCTGGCATACTTCCAGGTTCTTGTGTCCCTTCTCTCCTGACTCTTCCCTTGGGGTGGGTTGTGCACACGTGCAATGGCCTGCTGGCGATGAAAGAGGAGCATGCACAGTGTGTTTACAGGAGTTGTATGCAAGCTCAGCGGCAGAGTTCTTCCCTTTTCCAGTGGAATGCCCTCACAGGTCATATGCCAGTGAAACTCCGCCATTTTGCCACTTAGTGAACATGCTTGAGCTTACTGGGCAACTCCTGAGATCTTATCAGGAAGCGCTGATCACCAGTTTCAGGGTTTTTTTTTCTATCTATAGGGAAACTGTCTTTCCCTGGTGCCGGCTGCAACCAATTATTATTTTAGAGAGGCAGTGTGACAACTGCCTGACACCTCTGATGGTCGCCTGACTTTCCTGGTGGGGTGGGGGGCCCTCTCCTGTCTTCCTCATGTCTGCCTGACTAGCTACCAACTGTAAGAGAATGACTATGGGATGAAAACGTGGATTCTAGAATCTCCTCATACATTTAACAGTGTTTCTCCACAGGGGCACTATCCTCTCCTATGCAGACCTATCCTGTGAATTTTAGGAAATTTAGCATCCCCCCCAACGAAAGCCCACCCCAATTCCCAATTTCCAAAGGATCCCTAAGGGAATGGTTGCTCCACTGACTTTAACCCATATGATTTCAGATATATTTTACATGACCATTTAGCATATGTTTAATTCACAACACTAACTTTCCCCATTATTTTCAATAATTTCTTTCCAAATACTACTTTCTATCTTTCTCAAGGCTGTCTTGTATCCTTTCTTCCTTGCTGTTATAAAGCCAGCAACATTATGTTATATCCTAATATTTTCATGTTCCTTTTCCATAAGTGACGATCTAGTTTTCTTCCATAAATTAAAATTCTCATACTATTTTTTTTTGATGACCACATATCTCAGATACACACACCCAACAACATGCACTTCATACAGGTTAGGATTTCCTTTGTTGAGAGCACTTACTTCTGTCTGCAGAGAGCTGCTAGCCGCCAAAAGAAGTTCAATGCTGCTAGGAGGGCAATGTGTCAAAGCAAAAGCCATGAGCTCTTGACGAGTGCCCAAGTCCTGGTAACCTTCTGATTGTCCTAACTGGCTACAAACATCCCAGCTTTTAGGATAACCTGCAAAATTGGCAAGGAAAAAAACAATGATTCCCAAAAGAAGAAGAATATTCAATCTAAGATGACAAATGCAATGGCTTCCTGCTCAGGTCTTGTTGTACCAAAGCAAAATCATAGTCATTAGTTACACATTATTTTATAAGCAGAAACAGATAAAAATCTAAGCTAGGAAAGATTAGGGTGGTTTATTATCCAGAAAGTTCAATGGTACTCCAGACAAGTGTTTCTGAAAAACTCTGTTAAATTTTAGATTAACTGACAATAAATGCAAATAATCTACTGAGATTTGATGTTCTGTGAAAAAGCCATCTGAATTCAGAACACCTGACAGCCTGGTCCGACCCTGCTACTTAGCACTGGTGTGAGAGCTTTAAGAAAGAGCCAAAAGTATCACAATTCTTTTCCTACTACAAAAGGACAAGAATAACACCTTCCTCTTGGGTTGTTGAAGGAATTAAGTAACATTTGTATGTAAAAGCACATGTAAACTGCCAAGTGCTAGAAAAAAGAGACATTATGATAGATGCCCATACAGAATCACTCACTTTATAGATAAGACAGACATCTAAGGACAGTGACTGAATCACCCTCCAACTCCCAGCAGGGATTTTTTTCCTATACATTATACTTTGAATTCTTAAAATACATTTCTATTCTTATTTGAAGGAATTCCAGCCTTAGGCCTATTTGTCTAAGTACAAAACTTGTAGTACAGAATAAGTTTTTCTAAATATGAAAAGTAAAAATTAATTCAGATATTACCCTTACCAGAATAAAATTATTATAAAGCTCTCCATATGAACAATTTAGATCACTACATTTTCACAGAGAGCCATAGTTATTCTAAATTTAATGTTGCAAAATCACTTGGTCAATATTATGGAACACAGCTCATTTATGAAAACAATTTGCTAATGCTGAAGTTGTAAAATATTGAATATTTCTTGAGAGTTTTAAATGTTTTCATAGATGTAAAGCCAAAGATCCTCTCTGTGACCAAACTTAAATCAGACAACCCTGAGCCCTCTTCTCAACTAGGCCTTAACCTTGGCCCCCAGCCTTGCTAGGCTGCATACTCCAGTTTTAGCAAAAATCCTAAGTCAGTTTAGCCAGAATCTTCAAATTCTCAAGGGCTGATCAAATTACTCATCCCTCAGCAGTGATATCTGATCATCCTGGTCGGACTTCAGCAAGGTCCTATTAAATCATCTTAGCAAGGATCCCCCTGCCCTTGACGTCTCCTCTTAATTTTCCATCCACTGACCCTTCAGTTAGCCTGCTGGCTACAAATATCCAGCTGTCCTTGTTGTATTCAGAGTTTAGTCCAATCTCTCTCCCCTACTGCAGTGGTCTTCATACTCATCACAATAGTCCTTGCTGTTATAACAAGTGTCAGAATAAGGTTTGCTTTAACAGTACACATGCAAAAGTTACACAAATCAATAGTGCAGAACTCCATGAGTCATCATGAAGTGAAACCCTGCATTTTAACCACTCCCTATTAATGTATTGAGAGTGGGTAGAAAGATGTGTTTGGGCCTTCACATATTCAAGCATAGCCATGGAAAGTTGGTAATTTAGTACAGAGCTCATGATAAGAAAAAAAAAAAAAAAAAAACTCCCTATCACACTAAAGAATGTGTTCTTTAAATGAGAAATTATTCTACAATAAAATCTCATTATCCTGCAGAGACTTGAATTTGAATTTCAATATGAAGAATTTTGGAGTTGCAAAACCCTTCCCAATTTCTCAACGTCGGTTTGAAAAGCACTACACTATCTGGCATGGTTTGGATCTGTGTCCCACCCAAACCTCATGTTGAAATGTAATCCCCAGTGCGAGAGGTGGGGCCTTGGGGGAGGTGATTAGATCATGGGGGTGATTTCTCATGGTTTAACATCATATCCCCTTGGTGCTGTCGTTGTGATAGTTGAGTCCCTGCAAGCTCTGGTTGTTTAAGTGTGTAGTCCCTCCCTCGTCTCTCTCTTCCTTCTGCTCCAGCCAGGTAAGCCTTCTGCTCCCACTCTGCCTTCTGCCATGAGTGAAAGTTCCCCAAAGCCTTCCTGGAGGCAGATGCTGCCATGCTTCCTGTACAGCTTGCGGAACCGTGAGCCAATTAAACCTCTTTCCTTTATAAATTACCCAGTCTCAGGTATTTCTTTATAGCAGTGTGAGAACGAACTAATACACTATCTTTAAAAAAAAAATTAAAGAATGGAAATATTGACTATATAGACACAAACTAAATAATCTAAAAATTAAAATTTTCTCTTAGATAACAAATACAGGAAATAGCATTAAAATATTTTACATAAAATTATTTTTAAATTACGAGCATGTTTTTAATAGGGACTAGAAAGCAACCAAAATCTCAAATAAAATGTAATGTCTGAATCTGTTAAAATGTTTATATCAACATGTAAGTACATAGCCTATATACTTACCAGCGCTCATAAAATGTATCTCAAGCCTCAATGTGGCTGGCTTACCAATTAGGTCAATTGATTTCAGAACAGACCTTTTCCATTATTCATCACATAAAGAGGACATGAGCAAAGTGTAAAATAAGCTGTCTACTCACCTGTGGCCATCAGCTCCTGACAATGCATATTGGCTGCTTTGTAGTCATGGAAGCGAAGTGCTTGCTCCACTAAAAGGACTAGAACCTGTCCCCGCCTTTCTTCTGGGTCCTCACCTGTAAGTCCAAGCAAAGGACTTAATGATTATGACAAGCAAAATGATTATGACAAGCAACATCAAGTGATAGAAGAGCTTGTTAACGCTGTCTTTCAAATTACTTCAGAAATAAAACAGAGAGATTAGACGGATTTGCAACAATGAGAGGAAAAAGTTGCTTTGACCTTTCAATCCACTTATGAAGCATGGAATTAGCCGTCAGTCTCCTAAGAGATCAATGATTAACATTAGTTCCTAATTAAAATACCCAAACCAGGAAGTCCAAAATCAGGGTAGTTTGGAGCCCTACAAAAAAGTCTTGGTATTACCAGGGTAAGGGAAGGAGAAGAAAATTTATGTTTCCAAAAGAAAGCAGGTTATAAAAGGGGCTTGAAAAATAATGACCAGCAGATTAAAAGAATGGATGAAGATGATACAGCAATAAACTTCTCATATTAAAAATTCAACTACTATTTAGAAATTGGAATGCAAACGTTGTCCAGAGCACTGGCAAAGATTGTTCCTTAACAAATTCTCATTGGGCTCCTCCGAGCCTTACTGGGCCCTGTCCTCGGACATATCCTTGAGAGCCCAATTTTAGCAAAACTTCTGCTGTCAGTTGTAGCCAGAATCCTCCACTCTGGATATCTGGTCATCCCTGATATCTGATCAAATCCCTCATCCCCGCCACCAACTCCCAGATGTTATCTGGCCACCCTGGCCAGCCCTCAGGCAAGAATTTGTACCCTGTCAGGTGGTTTAACCAGAATGCCTCCTTACCCCAATGATTCTTCTTTGTAATTTTCCATCTGCCCCAACTTAGGTTCCAACATAAGTAAAACCCAACTCAATGGAAACAGTAAAATCAGAAATAACCAACTGTACTCTAACTAGGGACTACCCACATTAACTAATCAAGTATTTTCTTTGTCCACAAACACCTTATAAAATTTTCCCATCACCTCCACTCAGAAGAGCCTTGAACCACTTTGAGTTTGGTGCTGCCTGATTCATGAATTGCTGCCTGTTGAAAATAAACCCTTTAAAATTTTTATGTGCATAAGTTTACTTTTAACAAGCCCAATTTCTCTCTCTTACTGCAAAATTCCATTGCAGTAGTCCCTATACCTATAGTGCAGAGTCTCTCTTACAATTTTTTGTTTGTTTTTTTGTTTGTTTGAAGAGACAGGTCTCCCTACGTTGCACAGGCTGGTCTTAAACTCCTGGGCTCAAGTGATCCTCATGCCTTAGCCTCTCATTTAAACATGCATCAGGGATAATTTTTTCATTAAGAGCACCCATGGATCTCAATCACACAGATGTATGTGTATAAAAATGGGGATGAAAAATACAACTTATAATATCTTAAAGCAAGTCTTATATTAACTTTACCCTGTGTAAACAGAATCACTGTGAGATAAATAGGAATGGGATATGGCTCCCCATTCACGTATTTTTTCTTTTTTCTTCTCTTGTCCAACCGATCACAAAATCCACACCACGACCTTGCTGGAAATATACCCACTAACCCTGGGGCTTTAGTCATACCAAGAGAATGGCCATTCTTCAGTGCTCTCATAATGTTTGACCATGCCTTTTACTTAAAGAATTCTGGGAAATGGACTTAAGAAAATCTAAATATCAAACCAAGGTTGTGGAGTGCCTCTCCTGGGGAACAAAGGCTGGAAATGGATTTGCAGCCTGGTGCTACCAGCCAGACCACCAAGTGACCCATTACTTTAGGTAACTATGGCAACCAAATTAACACCGACCTGCATACCCTACCACTCACATGCGCTGCCCAGCCCAGCCGGCGTACTTTACCACAGATATCAATTCCTACTCTTTGCCTAAAAACAAAAACAACAACAAAAAATCCCTACTGTTTTTTTTCAGGGAGTCTACAGAGAGTCCTTGTGCCTCTGCTGTCTCCCATGTGCTTGAGCCCAAGACCTAAAATAAAAGCCTTGTCTAGGAAAGCTGCTTGGCCGTGTGCGTGTGTGCATGTATTTATTTAGAGATGTGGTTTCTCTCTGTTGCCCGGGCGGAAGTGCAGTGGCACTACCACTGCTCACTGCAACCTCGACCTCCCAGATTCAAGAAATCCTCCCACCTCAGCCTACAGAGTCACTGGGCCTACAGGGACATAGCACTAAACCTGGCTAACTTTTTTATTTTTTGTACAGACAGGGTCTTGCTATGTTACTCGGGTCAGTCTCAAACTCCTGGACTGAAGCAATCCTCCTGCCTCAGCCTCCCAAAGTGTTGGGATTAGAGGCGTGAACCACCACACCTGGCTTGTGTTCATTTTTATTACACAATAAAGGAGGAGCCAAACGGCCTGTGATCTGCAGCAACCACAACATTACTATGCTATCCAACACACTGTCTACATTAAATTAAACAATGACTTTTGATGTTTTTTCCTTCTAAAGGCTAACAGAATGAAAATAATTTGGGGCTCAAGGGATCACAGTTCTGGCATATGGGTTATTTCAAAGTGAAAATATTTGAGCTACGAAAGATGCAGAAAGAAATTCTAACTGAATTTATCTTATCTGAATAAAGCAGAGTCTCCCTAAAATAGAACTGCAGTTAAACCCCCTCCACCGGAGTTTCCTGAGAACTCAGCTGGCACACAGACTGTCAGTCAGCATCAAAAAGCCCAACAGAACCTTCCATACTTTCCCACTGAAGCCCTAGCCCCTCCCACCCCATCCCCCTTTTCGTTAAGTTGGTATATAAACCTTACTTCTTGCTATTCAAGAGTTATTAATAACTAAGTGACTTCTGCATGCATGTGTAAAAAAAATCTTGTTTTTCTCCTGTCTATTGTCAGTTAACTCACAGGCCCCCCGACGAACCATTTGAAACAAAGTAGATGAAGAAAAAGGTTTCCTCCCAACAGGGACTTTAAACATTTTTGCTAGGTCTTTTAAAAGCATTTTCCCCTTTGAGCGTTCTTAAATGACAAATATAAAGGGGGAAAACCCTTCAACACAAAGTAAATTTATAGTTTCACTGACAGTGCTCATCTTTTATTATCAGACTCGGTTTCCAGAGTCTAAAAATACACAAGAAAAATTCAGCTCATGTTAAAAGATCTAAAATTATTTTTCCAAAAGTATTTTTAGAAAATATTTTTTAAAATATTTTACATAAAATATAGGTTTTCGTTGCCCTTGCAACATATTCCTTTACTTGCCACTCACTTAAAAACAATTTATTTCAATGGTAGGCTATCAGGACAAAAAAAAAAAATTGTGATTATCTTTTTAATAATCTTTATTATCTATTAAAATGTAAGCTTTTGGCAGACAGGGGTTGGTTCATAGCTGGATGCTCAATACCCAGCATCAAGTAATGTACATAACAGAGAGGCTCAAAAAAATACAGTCAGGAGTTGCTTAGCAAGAGGAATACATTCCATGACATGTGTCATGAGGCAATTCCATCTTGAGCAAACATCACAAAGTGCACCACTCACACAAACCTAGATGGTACAGCCTACTACACACCTAGGCTATATGGTACAGCTCCTAGACTACAAACCTGTACAGTATGTTTCTGTACTGAATACTATGGGCAACTGGAATGCAATGGTCAGAATTATGTGTATCTAACCACAGAAAAGGTACAGTAAAAATATTGTACAAAAGATAAAAAATGGTAACTCTGTATAGGACATTTACCATGGATGGAGTTTACAGGACTGGAAGTTGCTCTGGGTGAGTCAGTTTGTTGGGTGGTGAGTGAATGTGAAGGCCGGGGATATGACTGCACACTACTGCAGACTTTACAAACACTCTACACTGAGGCTACATGAAATTTAGTAAAAAAAAAAAAAAAAAAATCTTCAGTAATAAGTTAACTATAGGTTACCATAACTTAAAAAAACTCAACAAAACAAAAAACAGAATCTCACTGTGTCGCCTAGGCTGGAGTGTAATGGCATGATCAAGAGTTACTTAACTCACTGTAACCTCATGACTTCCTTGGTTCAAGGCAGCCTGCTGTCTCAGCATCCTAAGTAGTTAGGCCTACAAGCATGCATCATCACACCCAGGAAATGTTTTATTTTTATTTTTTGTAGAGACAGGATTTCACTGTTTCTCAGGATGGTGTGGAAGTCCTGGCCTCAAGTGATTCACTTGCCTCAACCTTCCAAAGTGTTGGGATTAGAGGCCTGAGCTGACATGTTGAGTTTTGTTTTTTTTTTTTAAATTTTTTTTTTCTTTTCTTGTTAAATGCTAAGACACAAATACACACATTAGCCCAAAAACACGGTCAGGACGTCAATATCACTTTCTTCCACCTCCACATACTGTCCCATTTGGAAGGACTTCGGGGCCATAACACATGGAGCTATCATCTCCTATGATATCATTGCCTTCTGGAATCCCTCCTGAAGGACCTGCCTGAGGCTATTTTACAGTTAACTTTTTTCTTTTATGAACAGGAGTCGCACCTTTGAATATAACATAGTATAGTAAATATATAAGCCAGTAACATAGTCATTTAGTATCTTTACCAAGAATTATGTACCAACATAATTATATGTGACAAACTTACACAACTGGCTGTATAGGAAGTTTACATCTCCATCACCACAAAAAGGTGAATAATGCGTTATAACGTCTGATGTCACTAGGCGATAGGAATTTTCAGCTCTATTTTAATTTTATGGAACCACCACTGCATATGAGATCGTTGTTGACCAAAATGTCACGTACCACTGCTGTGCAGTACGACTGTAAATTCTCAATAAAACAGGCACAGAGGCCAGGCACCGTGGCTCACACCTATAATCCTAGTATTTTGGGAGGCCGAGGTGGGTGGATCACTTGAGGTCAGGAATTCAAGACCAGCCTGGCCAACATGGTGAAATCCTGTCTCTACTAAAAATACAAAAATTAGATTACAATCATGTCATCTGCAAACAGGGACAATTTGACCTCCTCTTTTCCTAATTTAATACCCTTTATTTCTTTCTCCTGCCTGATTGCCCTGGCCAGAACT